TACGCTTTAGACAATTGCCTGTGTTTTCTATTGAAAGCAAGCCACAGTATGTAGACTTACGCCTCTGGAAAGGAATCTGAAGTTCATGGTCCGTTCGCTCGATGCAATATCCGATGTCAGATCATTTAGTTGGCCGAGAAGCTAGAAAGTGAGTGGACCTTGAATCTATTTAGATATCTCGTAGCTGACAATTTGATACACCTGATCAGAAATGTGTAAGGTACAGAGCCCTCCAAGTACGTTGCTACAAGTCAGCCTACAAACACAACTGAACACGCTTACGTTTGCGATAGCCTTCACCAGAGCGCAGTTTTAACTCTTTCGTTAGTGTAGTAAAGACAGAATCGTGATATCCAATTTGCAATAAACGGATATTTCAGAGCAGTGCAAATCAAAACACAGCCGCAAATCTCACAATCATGTTAACAGTATCCCGTTCTCGCGGGAACTGGCGTTTATTGTCATCCGTACAGGGTGTCAATGGATAGCATGTTAGCTCAAGGGTATCGTCGCATACAGCTGTACATCCATGTGGAAGGGAGGATAACCCTCTTGAGCAATCGATACACTCAATCCAAGTACCGAACTGACAATCACTCTTGTACTTGCGGAGTGCGAATCCAGGGGGGCCACTGATGCGTTGATCTCAGTGAGTTCTCTTCTATGTCATGCAGATGCTGCTGAGTGATGTCGATGCATATGCTTTCTGCGTCAAAAAAGCCTGTGCTTTCGCCAATGAGATGTCTCTCTTAACATTCCGATCCAACAGAGGTGTATAACGAACGAACCACTAGAAATTCTACGACTCGGAGTGATGTAGAATATATGCACATCTCATTTCTCTTTGTTCTCTTACATGTGTTGATATCCGTAAGCGCAATTTCACCAGGGGATCTCCTTTCCGTTGAAATCTAAGTATTTACCAGAATCATCCATCTTTAAACCGCCGATGACATTGCAGAAGTAATTCACCACCTAGCAATGAAAGGGGAAGGAGTACAGATCAGCGGGTGTGACGTAAATACCATACGCTTATACCAAGACGCGAAGTGGGTGAATTTAAACGCGCTGAGAGTAAAACGGAAATTGGAGCCGGTGGAGTGGGTTCTGTCAAGCATTTACTGTAGTACGTTCACAATCCCTTCACCATGGGTCAGTCCTCATCAGAAGAAAATGCCAATGAATGCTAAACGCCTACAATTTCACTAACGTTAATAAAACTCAACGGCATGCTACAGTACTGTGCTGGGGTTATAGTTGAGTTATCCGTTTTTCTCACCTCGTCCGGTTCATTGATATTGTGCTTGACGTTCTTGTGGTACCGCTCAGAAAAGGATGTGTTCACAGTTCCAGGATGCAATCCTACGCACAGAACCTACACACGATTAAAAATAGAGAGAACCTTTACAATTTAAAGATTGAGAGAACCTATACAATATAAAGATAGAGAGAACCTATACAATATAAAGATAGAAATAACCTATTCAATTCAAAATGGAGAGAACCTATACAATATAAAGATAGAGAGAACCTATACGATATAAAGATAGAGAGAACCTATACAATATAAAGATAGAGAGAACCTATTCAATTTAAAGATCGAATGAACCTATACAATTTAAAGATAGAGAGAACCTATACAATATAAAGATAGAGAGAACCTATACAATATAAACACAAAGAGAACCTATACAATATAAACATCAAGAGAACCTATACTATATAAACATAAAGAGAACCTATACAATATAAAGATAAAGAGAACCTATACAATATAAAGATAAAGAGAACCTATGCAATTTCAAGTTAAAGAGAACATATAAAATTGAAATTTTAGTGCAGAGAACATGTATAATTTAAAGATAAGGAAAACCTATCCAATTCAAAGATAGAGAGATCCTATTCGATATAAAGATAGAGAAAACCTATACAATGTAAAGATAGAGAGATCCTATACAGTTTAATGATAAAAAGCACCTATAAAATTAAAAGAGTGTAGAGAGCATATACAAATCAAAGATAAAGAGATCCTATACAGCTTAAAGATAAAGAGAACCTATAAAATTAAAAGTGTGCAGAAAACACATGGAATTTAATGATAAAGAGTACCTATACAATTTAAAAATAAATAGAACCTATGCAATTTAAAGAGTGCAGAGAACCTTTAAAATTGAAAGTAAAGAGAACCTAAAAAAATCAGAGATAAAGAGAACCTAAAAAAATCAGAGATAAAGAGATCCTAAAAAAATCAGAGATAAAGAGAACCTATAAAAATTTATAGATTAAGAGAACATATAAAAATTTTAAGATATAGCGAACCTATACAATCTACAGATAAAGAGAACCTATAAAATCAAGAGTGCAGAGGGTCGATTGGACCGTGTTTGTATCAGAACTGTGATGCTGCCATGCCCCGAACGACAGACAAGCACCTTTGCCCACTAGTTTGATTGTCGAAAGGGCGCATTTCGTAGGTTGTTATTTGTTTTATGGTCTAAAACGTCAACTAGACTTGTCAAATATACGACTACGGGTGAAGGTACTTACTGGTTGAATTAGAACAGCTGGATTATAGTACACACTAAAATGCACGCCACTCATAACTCACGAGCTATATAGCTTAACACGGAATAAGTATCGATAACCGAAACCTAGCACCATGCCGTATATACACACCTGTTTGGCATACAACTCGATCGACATCGTCTTTGTTATCATATTCTGCGCCGCCTTGGAAGCTCTGTATGCATACCTAATTGAATATGGCCAACAATCTAATGATCATTATTTGAATTTCATTTCCCAAATCAATTGTCCCCTTCGTAGTCCGCCGAGGTAATTAATAAATCACAATCAATTCGCATCACCAAAGCAACACCACTCACCAGCCACCCTGCTTGTTATCTCCTATAGACCCTACACGAGCGCTTATGTTGGCGATCACCCCCGTATACATGCCCTGGTGTCGAGGAACATGGGTAGAAAGTATATGAATGGCTCAATTGCACCAGTCACTCATCCAACACATAATGAACCTCCGAATGGAGTACCGAACGGAAAATGGAATGTGAATCATACCAAACGCCACAACCACAACAAAGAATGGTATCCTAGATGAATTCACAAACTTTTTTGGAAATACCTTTTCTACGCGAGTATGGTGCAGCAGAGAGCTGAAGTGCTTGCCCATCAGCAGCGGCCCCAAAGCATTTGTTTTGTAGGCGGCCTGTGTCAAAAGGAAGTGTAGTGATCAGACATACGATGAATCAGCCCCAGACATCGTACACGCTATAGAACGGACAAGCACAAAGTGTTCAGTTTCGATAGTTTGCGAGATAAAAATGCCCTGATAGGCTGAGACCATGCGTCACAGATGGTTTCAAGGGGAAATCATCGAATCTGAGAACTGTTTACATGTTGCGACAACGACTATCATTCGCTCTGCCGCACATCACAGAACAATCGCCACGCACAAACGGTGAGGTATTAACTATCACACAGAACCCAATGCGCATTGAGAGAGTGTAGAGTTTAAACCGTTACTATGAAGAGAGAAAGTTTTAATACGTTCACAACAGTCTGTCCCGACTCTCGAACACTTACCAATACAGAGTCCGCGTGAACTTGACTCAAATTCGTCTCTCCCTTTTGTTCTAAGTTTAGGATGCCACTGCTATTCAGCAGAAAATCAATTCTGAAAAAGATATTAATATACCAAGACACGTGGTTCAAGATTTAAGATATAAGTGTACCGAGATAAGTGTATGGTACAAGACTGGAGATAGAATGTAGCAGGGTAAGTGCATAGTGAGATAAAAATGTACCAGGGTTAGTGTATGATACAAGATTAGAGATATTAATGTACTAGGGTAAGTGTATAGGAGATATAAATGTACCAGGGTAAGCGTATGGTACAAGATTAGATATATGAATGTACTAAGAGATGCATAGTACAAGATTGGAGATATGAATGTACCGGGGTAAGTGTATGGTACAGTATTAGGTATATAAATGTACCGGAGTAAGTGTATGGTACAGGATTAGATACAGAAATGTACCAAGAGGTGTATAGTACAAGCTTGGAGATATGAATGTGCAAATGAAAATTTATGGTACAAGATTATATTCCCATTCGGACAATATAGAGCACTAGGTGCATTCAAAACGCAATAGCAAAGACTTCTACACACAGTCGGGGATGTATAAATGAGTTCAAGATCAGAATTACCATTTACTGGTGCTCATAGTTGTGGCTTGCACATACTTTTTGTACTTCTCTTTGACTTTTCCCGCTGCGTTCTGTATGTCCTCTTCCTTCCAGATATCACAAGCTATCACCGTAAGTTGCTTCGGGAACTATATAAACATTGGGACATGCGAAGCATATGCATTAATTCGCGGTATAAAGCTCTACCAAAATGGGGCAAGGCACTCGTTAGTGGTCACATTTGCGAGATGTCAACACGCGGTGGGCGAAACGTGATATATAAAATGGCAGAGACCATGAGACAAGCAGTGATGAGCATAGCCAGATCACAAGGTACACTGGGGACATCTTTGACTATTAATGGCAGACGTCATGAGAGAAGCAGCGATGAGCATAGCCAGATCACAAGGTACACA